TGCTTTCCATTAGTTCCATCAATTTTGGGAACTGCTCCTCTTTATTTTTATACAAACGCTACTTTTGTTTTGCTATAAAAATAAAACTAAATATTTCTATTACATGCATATTTCTATTACATGCATATTTCTATTACATACTTTTGTTCGCATAGTTTTGATATTTCTTTCGAAACAATTTTATTTCCATATTCCGCTACCCATAATATCATTTAAGCAAATTTGAGAGCATATTTTTGCCTTCCATCTATATAATTTAAAATTCATTATATGTATATTTTTTATGAAAATTCTCAAAAATATCTTGATCAATTACTAAAAATATTTTTAAATTTCAGAAAATTTTTAATAATTTTTCGTTCTATTGCTTGGATATTACCATAAGTAGTTGTCATAAGAAAAATATCTCAATTCACAAGCCGATGATAAAATTCATGTGCATCAATAGTGCAAACCATAATCTATTTTTCGATTTTGTGTTCTAGAAATACATTTAATTCAATAATACTAGACATTAAACATATTCAAGTAATTTCGTTACGGTTCAAGACCAACGAAACGGAGGAATCAAACATTTTTTTGGAGTCCAAATATGTATACATGTACATATTAAAACTAACATATCTAAACATATTATCCGCATTATTTATTAAAACTAAAAGATCTATATCATATTATATACATTTAAGGATAAAAATTCTTAAAAATACCAAAAGCCGGCCTATATTGAACTGAAAAACATACACGGATACATGAGTGTGAATATATGTGTATAACATATTGATACTTTCATACTTGTTTCTATACGTTCATAAAACACAAGTCATAAATAGTTGTTTGAATTGAAAAAGAAAATTTTGTCTTTATCCTGTTGCATTTCAAAAAGGACTTTTATTTTATTTTATTACCTTATTTTTTTCATAATATATGTTTTATATTGGTATATAAAACATATATTATAAATTAGATATATATACAATATGTGTATGCAATATAAATAATTTTCTTCTATGTCATAAGTTTACAACAAGTCATACAAACGCCGTCATCAGAGCAACGTCGATTTCTTATAAAACAATTTTCTTTTTTTTTTGTTGATTTTTGTAACAATTTTATTTCATATTATCCTTATAGGGAGTCCTTTTTTATTTTATTTTTTCTTTTTGTATTTTTATGGTATTTTATATGTTGTTACTTTTGATTGTTTGCTTTTTGTTCAATTTTTTAACATGTTGGTTGTATCAACAAAAATAAGCAAAAAAGTAGTATGACAATATTAATGGTTTTGATGTCAAAGATTATTATCATTTGACAGACAGGAAGTTGATTTTTATGTAATTGAAAATACAACCAAATGTAATAACGGTTAAGGCTAAATGAAAGTTAGGAGAACAAAAAAATAGAATAAAAAAAAAATGAATTTTACTTTTAGTGGTTTTTACAGTAATGGTTTGTGTATATTTTTCATAAACGCAATATCATAAGACTAGACCAACATTTGAAACGTTGTAATATTTATATGAAATTCAATTATAAATTAGATGAATATTAAAACTGGTTGTTTTTTTGATTGCTATTTTATTTGACGATTGTTTTATTACTAGATTTTGTGTAGGAATAGTGTACACATGCGACTACGTACAATGTTGTTATCCTTGTACACGAATATAAGGTATTTTTTGTTATATGAACAAATATTTATAATAATATTAAAAAAAAATAATTTTTAATGTTTTTCTATATTTGAACGAAAATGTTTAAATTTTTAAGTTATAGAAAATTAGTCTGCCTTATGACATTTAAATAAATTTGGAGCAAGGCAACAAGTATAGCACATTTCCTAAAAACAAATGCAAAACGAAAAAAGAGCCAATGAGAACAGTAATGTTATTATTTCAATTATGATTAAGGGGCACTATTGAATTTAATTACTCGAACAAAGACGATGTTAATGCACAGCGACTTGTCGGAAGTTGAAATTTTGCTTTATTTGCTGAGCGATTTTTTATCAAGAATTATATTGTTTAATAATTTTCTCAAGAACTTATTTATAAATTACTTAAAACAGGAAAGTCGTTTAATTTCAGATTTCTACAACTCATCATGTGAGAGAAAATAATTTTAGGTACATATTCGAAAAAAAAGGTTCAATACTTCATTCCAACTGCCTTTTCATCGTTATGATGTTATATTTTTTTACAATAAAAAAACATGTTTCGTAAATATTTGTAGCTTCGATATACAAAAAAATTTAACAAGTTGGATCTTAGGACTTTTAAGCATTTTAACTTTTAGAGATCGCCTGTTTTAAGTTAATGGTAAAAATTTTTTTCTTCGAAATAATTACCAAATTAAGTTATCGCCAAGATACCTTAATGTATAAAATTGCAGACTTATTATATTTTTGAAGGTACACAACTTTTGTTAACAGAACGGGTAGATAAAATGTAACTACTAGGCACATTTTTTCAATTATATGGGAATTGTACTAAAAAAAATTCTTTTAAGATTTAATTCCCAATTGATTTCAAATTTAAAAAAATATTGTTTTCTTTTTTAATCCATCCTGAAATCACAATTTTTGTCAAGTTTTCAAGTAAAATTGAAAATGAAATTATGATAAATGGAACAAGCATAAATGACGGCCACATAATGTAATTTTTTTAATACAATAATTTTTTCCTTAATAAATTTGTTTCTGTACTCAAATATTAAAATTTTCGGTGAGTACCTGAAAGACTTGTAATTCAGCGTATTCGTTATTTTAATAAGAAGAATTTATAAGAACAGCTCAGATTTTAGTGATAGATGAATAATATTTTTAATTATTCTGAACCAAAGCTCATTGCTCATTTATATCATTTACGATATAAAAAGCACTTTGAAAAATTCTCGTAAATAAGTTTTTTATGGCGATATGCCTGTCTGTTTTTCTCTTTGCCGGTGCGTGGTTTGCAAATCTGAGTTTACCTTATTCATAAACTTCGGGGACATGTCTTAGGTTTCATTAGTTTCGAGTTTCTCGTCATTTGTAAGATTATGTCACGGAAACTGTATCGAAATTTTAAATTTTTGAAGATATCAGATGCCACCATTAGGGTTTCCACTATGGCCTGAATTCACATTTTTGCTCTTAAAAAATTATAAAGTAATAAAATTTTTGGAAAGGGTTACAGAAACTCCAGTTTCACTACGGGCCGACTTCACATATTTACCATATTAAAAGGACTACCTAACGGAATTTTTTAAACTTTCATATTTATTATATTTCCCAATTATAATAGCTAAACAAATTTTTAGGAAAGTTTACCTCTAATAATAACCAAATTTACATTTTCCTATTTATATTAACTAGAAAATTATACTAGATTTTTTAGAAAAATTTTGAAAGAAATATTTGAAGGAGATTTTCGTTAAACTTTTGCTAAACCAGTGAATATCGGATGTGAACTTTAGAAAAAAAAATATTCGCAAATACATCAAAAAATATCGACAAAATTTCATCGAGCTGACAACCACAAATACATTTCTGACTCAAAACCTAAAAATAATAAATTTAAATACAGGATGAATTTTATTTCTCAATTTTCTTTCTTTAGGTTCAATATTAATTTTATTGCTAACAAGTTCGATTTTCCAACTTAAGATAAACCAAATACAAAATTTTTATTTTATTAGTGATGAAAAATTTTCACTTTTTGCAGTTTAATTTTACTTAAAAAATAAAGTTCTTCCTTTTTATTGAAATCAATTATTATTAAGTACATATAGTAAAATTAAACATTGTAATTAAATAGAAAAAAAATTAAATTCTAATTTTATTTTAAATAAATTGTATTTTAAGTATAAATTTACATTTACATTTCTTAATTACAACTAAAAGATAATTTCCTTTAACGAAAGTTTTAATCGAAATATTAAATTCTTATACCCAAATTTGGTATTCTGACTTTGGTATTTTCTAAATAATATGATTATAATTATATATATTATACCTATATTATTATTATTAGATTTTATTTATCATATACAATTATTACTTAAACTGAATTAGACTTTATTAAACTTTCTAGATAAATTATTTTCTGACCATCTTTACGAAATATTTTAAAATTATTTTATTAAAATTTAATTTCATATAATGTATATACATACACATATATACACATTATATTAAATTATTTCATGAAATTTTCTAGCAAACATTAAAATGTTCTATATTAAAATGTTGTATGTACAAAATGTATTATGTATATGTATGTATAAGCAAGTTGACTTTACTGGAGTTAGATATAAATTTTTATACCATAAGAGTTATTTATGTAAGTTCACCATCCCTATATATATATATCATACAAATATACCTACAATCATGCATATAATTATAGAGACTCAGATAGATACATGCAGACATTATATTATACTCGTATTAATATTATAGAGACACATACGTATCAAAATATTTCCAAATTAATAATTACAACACTTACTTTGAGTCTTTAAAAGAAATTAATATAAATACAACAGTATGTATGTATGTATTTATATTAATTTCTTTTAAATTTGCTTGTCAAAGATACGGAAAAAATATATTCAAAAAACCCGAGTTCAAATATTATTATAATTAGCGGTATGTTCCTCTCTTCTTGAGATCAATGGGAATTTTCTAAGTTCTGACTAAAATTTTCTTATAATTTCATACAATTCAACTTTAAACTCACTTAAATGCGCTTAAATAATCATTTAAGCGCATTAATCATTTCGTGAATTGAACTTAAATTTTCTAATAAACTTACTCATACTTATAAATAAAATTCTAAAAGTTTGAATTTTTTCCCATTATAACACAATTTTTGAAATAATAATACTACTTACAGTTCAGTTTTAAAAAATTTACAATAATAAATATTTAAAATTAGATCTATTCATTTTATATTCACATATTTTCCTTTTATGTTTTTCAATAAATAGCTTAAACATAAGATTTTCATTCTTTCGACTTAAATTATATGACTAAGAAAAATTTCAGAATTAAAATTTACTGATATTAATGTTAAACTTATTAAGACTAGTAAAATTTTTTCAGTTACACAATTTATTGAAATCGCCGTCGCTGTCAAAGTACTACTTTCTAATAGTAGCTGATGATATGGACATGTACTAGATAATTTTATGTACGGTGTATATTTTGGATAACAAATGATTTCAGATGGTATTGAAGCTGATTCATTAGAAATTTTACAAAATGTCATATGCTTTCCATTAATTATATTTTGTTCTACTCTTCGGGTAAATAACTGTTCTGACCATGGTAAAATCATTAAATGATTCATAAATGTTCTGTCATGAAATTCAACTGGATCTGATATTATTAATTTATTTAAAAGGGATTGTTGGTAATATTCGTCAGCTTTTTCTTTTACATCACTAACTGTATTGTTAAAAGTATCAGTTTCATATACTTTACTAGGCAACAAATCTAAAATATTTCCATTATATAGAAAAAGGTTTTCAACATCAGTCATATTTAAAGAACGAAATTTATAGACTCCAAAGGTAGCAAAAAATTCTTGGACCGGTGTCATACTGTAACAACCCGCTAAATCAATTTTAGGATAATAAGTTAAAAATGAACGACATATTTCTTGTTTCATTGAGAAACCTCCAAATGTAGGTCGCTTACGTTCGATTGTCTCGTAGGCACAATCAGTAATAATATAATCACCAGGTAATATAGTTGTTTCATTTTCTAATTGTCGAACTTGTTGATAATTGTAATCGTAGTTGTCGTCTTCAATAATTCTTTCTAATTCTTTCCCATCTCGAATATGCCTTAGTTTTAGTTTTCTGCCGGCAGAATGTGAATGTAGGGCTCCCGATATAATTTTAATACCTGATTTTGGAAATAAAGCACTTGTACATGTTGGTGCGCATATACCAACATTGCGATAAAGTTTTTGTCCTGGTGGGATTATAAGAGTATCGGAAGCTGATATGCCAGAAATCATGATGCCAGCATCGTTTTGTCTTAAATTTTTTGTATAATGAATACGAAAACCGGAATTATCAAAAAGTTTTCTGGAATAAATGTTATCATAGTGTACTTCAAGCATATAGTATTTAGCACTATGAGATCCACCACCTATTGGAATACCAACATGGCTTGGTAAAAATTGACCTGTAGAGCCAATTGACCAAACAGCAACCGGCGTTATACATGAATCCCAATCGCGTGGTGTTACTAAATTACTGTTACAAACTGACCCATTACTTTTGACCCAAACATCCCAAGAAGCCGAATTCGAATTAGAATATGATGACGTAGAGCATTCAAATAAAATCATATGATGAACAAGCGGTTTTTTTGTATTAATTTCTTTGGTTAGCAGCGGCTCGTATCCAATTATGTGATGTTTTTCATTTAAGGGTGGAGCACTTATTATTTTGCACCAGTATAAAGAATTTACATTGTTTTCTACAGCAACATTTTTTACCGTGACATCCCATTGCTTTATGTCAAAAAAGTCTAATAAGGGAGGAGATGGTCTTTTGAATAATGGTCCCAATAAAAAAAGCGATTTTACACCACGATTGTGGCCATGGCTATTTAAATTTCCATGAATTGGATCTGTTTTACCAAAAGACCATAAAACCTTTAAAGTTTCACTTCCAATAGGTAAATCATGTGGATCACATGTTTCTAAAGAACGAGAAAATTCAATTTGTGTATGTGTTGAATTTTGAAAACCGTCAATAATGTTATAGTTCTGAGTATCATCCTGTATAGGAGCGGCACTATTTGATGTTAAATCTCCATGGCAATCCAATATATTTGGCTTACCAGTACGATCATCCACCCATAATAAAACTAAATCTGATCCGGCCATTAAACCAGACTTTTTAGAAAATCCTAATCCAATAAACCCTTGTGTGTTGACAGTTGCACGAAAAAATATTTCCTTTGACTTTACCCACCATTCTAACGTGTAAAGCCCTACAGGATCCATTATTTCAATACGTTTCCAATCATGATGATGTATTTTGTGTTGAAGAATAGTTTCTTCCTCTTCGTTTCCTGGAGGATTGTGATTCATTGGCGTACTTTGGAGACATATTGTATGTTGCAAAAGAACGACAATTGAAATTAATATTACTAAATTTGTTTTCAACATGATTTACGCATATTAGTAAAATATTTTCTTTCTTAAAAATCGTGTATTAATATAGTATTGTTTTAAAACTGTGTTATTAGTACCGTGGAATAGTAAAAATATTTATTAAAAATAAAAGAAAACTGGTAAAATAAATGAAACGACGCCCGTTTTTACAATTTTTTTTTACTTTACCTTAAATTTCAAGGTACACTAACACGTCGAACATTAAGTAATTATCATTGTTTTTATTTTTCTTATTTCAAAAATAAAAATTTACTCTAAAATTAAATGTTAAAGAATCTACACGTTTTTAATTAACAATTTTAATTTTTTGTCAAATGAGTTCAACAATATCCACTCTAATCCTTATATACAATCACTTATTTAAAATTAGTTCACAATTCGAAAAGAATATTCCAAATTATACTTTCAATATCCGCCATATTTAAATAATATTTCATAAAAATGTCCAAAAAGGATAAAATTATTTTTATGTTGTAGCTTTTAAAATATTTTTTAACGCAGTTTAAAATTAGTATCGCCCGTACAGCACACTTTCATATCGAATACTAATGAATCAGTAGAATGAAACAGTAGACAAGATCGGCAGTTTTTATCCTTAGTATTGATTAAATGGCTTGCTGCTGTAGTTGCTTTACTTATAAAATAACTTGGTGTTAGTTTATTTATGCACTCTTTTACTTTTACTCGTTTCCTTGTTCATTTTTTGTTTCACCAATTCCTTTTTTGCTTTCATAAAAGGTTGTCCACGGTTTACATAAAAATTAATATTTTAATGTTTTTATTAGTGGCGAATGCAAAGCAAAATTAAAACGACGAGATTTCATTTTGAATTGCACAGCCAACGTTTTGAAATAATGCAAGTGCAATTCAAAAATTACATTTTGTGAAACAACTGAAATAGTCTCAGAAAAAGAAAATTGTGTGAAAATTGACTTTCTAAAGAAGCCATCAATTTGAAACTTTAATTTTCAAAAATTTTGGAACACCCTATTATAAAAAACAAAAATAAGTGATTTGTTGGCTTTCCATATACAATTTTCTCTCATTCCCTCTTTTCCTGTTATTGAAGTTCTCTTTGTTTATTCTCCAGCAAATAGCTGCTCGATCAATTCCACTATTATTACGTTGCCAGTATAGTTTTGTTGTTGTTTCGTTTTTTTCCCTTCTAAAATTTTTGAAATCGCACGGCAGATGTTTGTTATGATGAGCAAAATATTGTTTTTTTTTTCTTTTTTGTCGTGTTAAGTTTACGCATGGCAAAAGATAGCAACTATACTTTAATTTACTTAGTTACCTTCCGTTCTGTTCTTATAATATCACCTAAGCATAAGTGCATTTGTGTTTGTGAACCTATATGTATGTACATATATATATGATACGGTTGCTTGCTCAACAGAAAAAATAAAAACTAACATAAATAAAAATATTATTTTTAAACCACAAATACGATTCCACATCTGCCCATTATTTTTTGTTTGGTACGATCGGCTTCATATTTTTTGAATTTGAAGAAAATAAGAACGTTTATTTTTTATTAGAATTCTGTTCATGTTGCAAAAAATCTGAAGTTACTTTTTGTCGTTTTTTTTTGGTTTTCATTTTAAATATATAACAATGTTTTTAATTCATATTTTTTTTATTTTACAAGCTAAAGCAAAAACAAATAGTGGGGTGATTTTAAAACCGTTTACCCGTGACAAATCTGGACTTGAATACTTTAGTACTATGTTAGTGTAGAATTTATTACAAAATATATTAACACAGACAACTTTGTGTCACACTTCAAGTGACAATACTTTAAGAAGTATTTCGTCTATACTTACATATTTTGGTTTCTTAAACTACATTTATTAACAAATACGAGTATAACTTACGCGTGTAATTGTTTTTTCTTCACATTTTAATGGCAGGATTATCTTTTTCTGTAAATAAAACATGTGTTTTAGTACCATTCAACTTCAAAAATTCGTACATTATATGAGTATATTTTAAATATGTTAGACCAAATTTTTCAATCAAGTGTATGTACTCGTACCAAGCCATTTCAAATAGATATAGGTACATACATAATTAACTTCTAAACTCAAAATTAACTAAAAAGGTTACTAATTAAATATTTTAAAAACTAGCATTGAAATAAGCACATTTACCGTAACATATCAAAAGTAGAATTAAAACATGATTATACCGAGTCCAACAACAATTTTTTTTTGTGCAAATATGCATGTATTTGTATATGTAGCTATTACTCAAAATTTTAAATATACATTATGTATGTATAAGTGGGTTAAGTTCATAATTAAAAGAAGAACAGGAAGAAATGGCAAAACCAAAAAAAAAATATTTTTGGCTCGTCGAACAAATTACCTGATATAATGTATATAGGTACAGAAAAAGAAATGTGTAAGCAGAAGAAATTTTTAAGTCATACTGTATATATGCTTATGAAATAAAAAGAACTCTGATGTGGTCAACATATGGCCGACCGCATTACTCGTTCTACAGATCATGTTTCTAAGTTCTAATAAATCCATTCTCATTAGTTTTCTTAAAGGATTGCACAAGATTATAACAACACTTATATTTTGCAGTTTTTTGTACTTATGTATGTATTCAAATTTTTGTAAAATTAATAAATTTCATGGCTGCTTTATATTCATTCCAAATTCGTAAAACAATTTAATATCCTAGTTTCCGGAAAATAATTGCCATTTAGTTTTGTCCGAAGCATTTTTATATCTAAAGTTCCATATAGTGTCAAATAAATGCAAATTTTATGAAAGGCGCAGTTATAGCGTTTATAGTACAGTGGGCAAACGTATGGAGCTTCTTCTATTTTTAATGGTGTCCAAGTTTCATATAGGCTAATTTGGACCAAATTTAAATTTTGCTGTTTTAGAATAACGAAAATATTTTTGGATAAATTCGTAATTAGCTAGTTTATCCTATGCTAATAAATTTAATTCATGAATTATGAATAAATAAACTCGTTAATATAAAATAGCTCCTAAAATGATGTTTTTTTTTTTACAATTTTCGAATGAAAATTGCAATTCCAATATAAAATGTACGTTTTTACAGCCCACATAATTTATTTAACTTGAGTTAAATTTATAATTTATATAATTGTTCCAAGTTTTGATAGATGCCAAGGGTTTCCATTGTTTCTTGATTTGTTATAACAACATTTAAATAAAATATTTACAAATATACATGAGGCTCTACCTCCCGTTTCTCTTTGTATTTGATCAAAATTAAAAAAAATATCTGCAGTGCATTTTATTTGATATACGTACATATATAAAAACTTTTAATTGTCAAGTATTAATTTTCCTCCACCCAGCTTATTAACACTGTCAATTTTTTATTAACATTATAAGTATTTCTTCATTTTGAGCGGTAATAATATATACATTAATACACATATACATTTATATACATAATATATGCACATTATTGTGTCTTATTTACTATTTAACTTTATGGCGTCAAAAACTTTCTATACTTTTATATACTTACCTCTAATATTACAATTATTTACATAAATATTTCCTTCAATTTTTTTTTTTTTTTTTGGGAACCATTGTTTTAGTTAAATGCATGCTCAAAAACGCAATGTTGCGTGCACATGATTTCATTCATATGCATAAATACATATACATTTTATTTATATAATGGATTATTATTTTAATTCAATAGTTTAAACAATTTCGGTACGCGAAAGAGCACATTTTAAATTTCTAAATGAAAAGAGGCGCTTTTAGATTTCCGAATATACACTTATTATACTTATTACTATGAGTTTCAGACTTTTTACGAAAATTTGTAATCCAAAAATTTGGGTAAAGTTGAAACACAAGATAATATTGAAGATAAAGTTAAATTTTTACCAAATAAAGCAGCAGATTGTTGTTTATAAAGAAAATCCCAAAAGAAAAGGATTAGAAAAATAATTGTTTTTCAGCATTTTTTCAAAAAATATTGAAGAAAAGTGCTTACTAGTTTCACCCTATGCATTAGCCCGTCCGTGGAGATGTCTATGAAACTAAAAATCCGTAGATAGACTAGATATTAATAAATAGTTTATTTTGTTAAAAGAAAACTTTTTTCTATCTCCAAACAGTCTTAAGTTTTTGTCGCTCGAAATTTGTAAAATTTGGATCTTGGGCACCTTGACTAATATATTTAAAAATTTTAAAGTTTTTCCAATTTCTATAAATTCAGAAAGTTTACGGTAAATACGATGCAATCAAAAAGTATAATTATTTTTCTTAGTTCTACAATTTTCACTCTGATGAAAATAAAGACATTTATAAAAAAAGAAATTAAACTTTAAATTCGAGCATTATTTTAACATTGCTCATCCTAATTGTATGCAATCTTCGAAATATTTTGGTTTATGAATGAAAGTAATTTTAATAATTTACTACGATTGTTAAAATCTGTGTTTTCAATTGTTGAAGGGAGTAGTGTTACTTTGCAAAATATTGGTTTGTCCCAACTTTGCTTTATAATCAACTCGACACACAGTCCGATTTATTCCTCAAGAACATTCTTCAAGAATTTCTTATGCAAGAACGTATGATATTAAATTTGTATGATTTTTAATTTTCGTTTCACAGAATTATTCTTTTGCACTTTTTCTTCGATCAAACTTAATATCAATGTAATAAAGCAATAAGAAATATTTTTACAAACTTCTTCCCTCTTCCGGCTTTTGTTTGTAAGCCCTCAACCAATCACATTTATGCATTGTATACAAAAAGGAAGGTGATGTCATGACCCCAAATTTCGGATGTCCGAGTTTTCGATGGAAACGTACTTAACTTCATAGAAGTGTAGGAAGCGTAAATATTTTTACAGGGATGTCGGTCTGTTTGTCTGTCTGGAGAACTTCCGTGTATCAGAAGTTCAGCATAATCGGTTTTGATATTTTATATATTATGAGTTCATTTTGACTATGCCACGGATTGATTAACTTTCGGGATATATCAGGCCTCGGAAATTCGACCTACCTGCGGGCAGATTTTATATTTTTGTGCATATAAATAGACATAATAAACCGATTTTCTTGAAATTTAATGCTAAATTTGTATAAATCAAATAATAAACTTATAAATTTTTTGGAAAGATTAGGGCTCAGAAATCAGACTAGGGCCGATTTTACATTTTAATCATATTTACGAAACTAATTGAATGAATTTCTCGAAATTTGATATTTGAGTTCTGGTTGTTACCGAAACTAACTGGCAAACTTTTCAGAGATTCGGGTGGCACACCTCAGATAGCGAAACTCCACTAAGAGCTAAATTTACATTTTTCGGGTATGTGAACTAAAAGCTTACTAACTTCCTTTGAGAAGTGTTTCAATCTCTTGTAATACTTTCGCTAAACTAGAAGAATATTTTGCTGACCGCATCAGATTTTTACTATAAAACTTTAAAATAAATAAATTTTATAAGCTAATGGTCTCTAGTTTTTATAAAATTTTATATTTCCATATTATAATTGTGTAAGAGTTGAAATTTGGTTTATGCCATCATTTCATTTTTATAATTTAAGAGGGCAACAATATTCAATATTCAGAAAAACTAATTAATTTGAATTTCACACATTAATTTTTCAATATCAAACATAAAACCAACAATGTAATCGATCAAAACCCATGGTTTGTAGAATAGCACCTTCTTTTAATTGATATTGAAAGTCCAATATTTGTGTGTATGTAGTATATAGTTTCAAACTTCCGTAATTTAATAATTAATTTTAATTTATTTTAAATAAATAATTTCTTTTTTATTTTCAAGTTTATAATCAATCTTTAGGTAAAATTTTCAAAAAAATTGTACTATAGGATACGATTGAACTGCATTGGTTATCAACCGGGTCAGAACACTAATGAAAGAACTATTACGGTTGTATTTCGAGTGTGATAGAATTTCGAAAATGGAGCTTCATTGTTGTGTTGTGCTTCATTGTTGTAATTGTAATGTCGAAAATTACTCGAAAGATGTAGGAATAAAAACGAAATTTTAATTTAGTAAAATAATGTATTTGTTAATATCTTTAATGTGAAATCAGATGTATTAGAAATATCACAATTTCGTGTAATTTCCTGCTTTTACAGAATTTACAAAATGCTTTTAATTTCCCTGCATTTTCACGATTTTGAAGAGAACGAAGAATACGTAAAAATGTTGTTCTATACTTCTAAAGTAATAACATTTTTACTAATATCTATTTCAGATTTCCATAGGTTCGGAGAATTTGGTTCTTGTCCCAAATCCCCCGCACTCGTCCCAATACTGGTCTTTGACCCATCTGCGTACCATCTGATAGCGTGTGTTCCCACTGGGCGACTTGAAAAGTCACGCTTCTAGTCCCTCCTGTAACTCAGCAACGAGGCAAAATTTTTTTCGAAGCTGTACCTCTTTACCATGTCGTCCCGAGGAATCGATAGGAGCGGAACCTCCCCGACAAGACGACCTCGATCTCTCACTCCGATTATTCCGGCTCCATTTCACCCTAACCTGAAAATGACAGCCTTCGCTGCCATCTCCACAACGAGATGCAAAGGGGTTAGTCCCAAAATCACCTCCATTGCCGCCGTTGGACATTTTATAGACATATTATGGACATAACATAGGATATTTTACATTAGTATTTATTTTAAATATAAATGATCGCGAAATCAGGTACTTAAAAAACCGTGTCATTAATCACAAAATTAATTTCTAATCATTTTTTATATTTTATAATAAAGTTTGAATAAAATACAATTGATAAGCATTTTATATAAGGATATTTCAAAATAGAAGGTTTTTATTTCTTAAAATGTTATCATATGTACATTCATACCATGTAATAACACATTAGTACAATAATTGTCCAATTCTTAAATACTATAATATTATAGGCAATATTCAATACAAGAGTTTAATATAAGCACTAAGAGAGAATATAATGTACTTATGTACTTAATAACATTGAATCTGTAAAAAATTTGAGTAAAATAAATGAGAAAAAAATCGGTGAGAGCACAAATTGTTTTATACAAGAGAAAATCTAGCTGAAGCAGAATATTTAATAAATAGTATATGTGTTTATTATATACACAATAATTAGATGTGAAAGTCCTGCGCAACACATTTTTAAAACAAACAGGAGTGGATCAAAAAATATGTAGTTGTTAAATTTACTAATAAGTTATCAACTTAGACAAACTCTGTCACACACAATTGCGACCCAAGTTAGTATAAACTATTGCGAGCCAATAAAGAATAAATCGATACTTCAACTAAAATACTTGTTGAGAACTGTTAAAAACTTAAAATTTAGCGCAAATATGAAAGGTAATTAGCGTTCCCCGTTCTTGATCTTTATAAGTAAGGCCAAGAACCAGGACTTATTATTATATTTGCTCTTATAGGCCTTAATTGCTTTTAATAAATTAAGCAAATATGGTCATGCTTTGTTTAATTGATATTTGCATAATTCAAATGAAACCTTTCGACAAATACCATAGAAGGTCATAAATTTCGTTTTATAATAATTGCAGTATTTGCATATTATTATTAAAAAATGCTCAAGAAATTCTGTATGTTGATCTCATGACATCAAAAAGTTATGGAAAAAATCTCAAGTGACTTCTGCTTTAGAAATAATTTTTTTTTATTTTATATAAGGATTTTAAAATCCAAAACGCAGTTAAATGGATTTCGAAGAAACTCTTGCCTTTGCTTAGAAGGATTTGTCATTTTGTTACTCCAACATTCATCAGTGAACAAATTAAATACATACATATTATGACAATCTGAAGAAAAGTTAGTAATTTCATTTTATAAATGTACAAATTTATAAATTGCGTATTTAAGAAAATTCAAATTAATGAAACCACTACGAAATATGTACGTAACACGAACGTTTATATTATACTTGTGAGCAAAACCAAGGTACGAGCAGTAATACACGAATATTGCAAAAATATTACAGAACGATTGAGAAGAAAAAGGAACTTATTTTGGATTTATTGAAAATTTTTTACTTAATCTTCCTCTGCATTTTATCTTTGGTCATTACACCGTGTCAAAAATTTTGTCTGCTATGATAAGCCAATTTTCTCTTGCATTCTATAATATAAATAATTTATATGTTCTTGAAATTCTCTCTTTATTCTAATATCCTTAATAAAATTAGTGTCCTTTTTTGAATAACAATACACATACATACATAGACATTTTATCTACATTCTAGTAAATACATTTGTATGTGCGATGGATATACATATAATATATGCTATTTGTTTCATGTTAGTTTATATGAAAAAATATCCAAAGAGAAAAATATGAAATTTATATTTTGTATAAAAAACACAAATACAAGCATACTTCCTTTATTTGTGTGCAATACATTTATAAATATGTAGATGTTTCATATGGGAATGCCTAGAGAAAGAGTGTAGTTTTCGGTTTACCGTGTACTGCGGTCGTTTTGAATTATATTGTGTCGTGTATTTTAATTAAAATAAAAAATATAATTATCCAAAAATTTTACTTTTATAACTTTTATTTAAGTGGAATTTTATTGAAATTCTTTAAAAATATTGTTTGCCAAAAGATAAATGAAGTTTTAGTAATTTTAAATTTAAAATTTTTTAGAAATTCATTCACAAAAAAAAAAACTTTTTCATTTTTGGAATTATCAAAAAGTATAGAAAAAACAAGAAAAAAAGTGAAGTTCACTTAAAAGAAAAAATTGAATCCTTTTCCATACTGTGTACACATTTTTTTAGCATTTTTTTGTGTATTGGTGTTTGACTCAAATAAACAAAACAACAAAATATTGTTTACACTCTTGTGTATTTGACGATTCAAAATAAATAATTTATTTCTAAAATCACTGAAAATTTAAAATAAATGAAGTAAAATTAAAAAAAATTAAAGTTTTATCAAAAATTGTAATATAAAAAGTATATGAAAAGAAAAAAAAAATTGTTTTAAATAAAAGGACTTTATATTAATGAAAAAGAAAATTGGAGAGGGCGAAAATAGAAGAGAGTGAGAAAGAGAGAAAAAAAGGAAAAAAAAAACAAAATTTGACACACGCATGACAAATGAAAACAATTTTTTGACATTTAAGTGTACAATATTTTTCTATTTGTTTTGTATTCTGCGATAAATAACATCATATAATTTCAAAAATTGAAGAATATTTAGTGTTACAGTAGGTATTTTGAAATTATAAATATTACAGTTATACAAAATTTCTTAAATTATATTAAAAACCGATCCTAAAATCGTATTGAATTATATTAGATGAATAAATTGGTATTTCTTCCTAGCATCTGTAATTTTTTATTACAAATTTTCCACTAGCTATTCATTCAAAATTAGCTTTCTCAAACATCGTAAATATTCATATATACATATATACATGTACGTAAACATGTAAACATTTTAAAGTGTTATAAATACTCATGTTGGGGAGAAAATTCATAACACTTAATATCACTCTGCAAAAATTTTTTTATTAAAACATTCTTAGTAATTAATTATTTCTAATAAAACAATTGGTAATGTGGTATATTTTTGCACTAAAAGAAATTTACATTGCCAAAGTGTCAAAGGCAAATTGAAATATTCCAAATATTCCAGAGTTTGTATCGTTGTAATAAGATAAAAAAATTATCTAAACAAAACAAGATGTGATTTTATTGTATGTGTATTGGTATGCAATACACAATAACGTACTATACAAAAGTGTGTTATGAACCGAATATAAAAATTTAATTTCAATATACAAAATACGTTCCAAATAGTTCTTTTTTTATTACACTTAGCTGAATTTATTAGAAGTTTCAGGAAAATTTTTATTAAAAACGATGTAAATCAGTTTTATTTAGCCCAGGGTCTAGTGTCATTAACGAAGCAAAATATTTATTAAAGATTTTTCCCAGTTTTACCATTAATTTTTTCTTTTACGTATAGTAAACTACAAGAAAACTTAATATCGAATGAAATTCATCGAATGTTTGTTATGTTTTCCCTATAATTTTCAAATCATGTAAATTTTGTTCTCTCAACAATTTCAATGCAATTACTTTTAATTCTAGTCCATTCATCGCATGTGTACAATATATATTATAGCGCTTTTAAATCTGAAAAAATTGTTTCGGATGTCAACAAAAAATAAATATTGTCGTATTATAATTAACTCAAATTAATATTAACATTAACAAAATATTCAATAGAAAAAAAATTCGGAATAGGAGATCCTTACACGGCGAAACATTTTATGTAAATTAGATATTTTTTTTAAACACAGCAGTCACACACTTATCCAAAATCACAACAACCATACTTTATATCTCAAATATTCAAAGAAATTTATTTCCAACTCCTTCATTTTTTATATTATATATTAATATACAGGGTGTTCGGGATTCAATGGTATTCCCGAAGCAGGGTGATAGAATGCATGCAGACAAACAAAAAACACCTAGTGACATTTTTCCTTTTAGGGTGTTCTCGAGTTATGGGGCCTCAAAGTTGGAACATACAAAAACCGCCTGATTTTCACATTTTTATTTATAACTCCGGAAATGTGACAGATAAATCCAACTTTGTGCACTCATTTTAAAGCTAATGAAATTCTCCTTCTAACGGTATGCCAATAGTTGCAAAGACTTTTTTAGTTTCAGAAATCTTAAACTGCAAAGTCAGAATTTTTGAAAAATTTTTTTACTAAATTTTCGCTTAACCGTCATTTACCCGTAATTCCAAGAAAAAATTTATTTTATTATGATATTATTTACAAAATATTGTTTTTGTTTAATATTGTGAATATTTAAGAAAACAAATAATTATTTTTTTTACGAAATAAGTAAGGTATACGTAATAATAAACATAACTATTTTTTTCCATTTAACATTAAAAATAAGAATTTAAAAATTGTTCAAAATGCCCACCATTATTATGGACACAATACATGATTCTTTCCTTTAAAGATGTAAGAACATTGATCTCTAAACTGTCTTCTTTGATGGTTTGGCAAGCTTCATTAATTATTTTAATTAAATGTTCTTTTGATCTTAACTCTGTGGAGTATACAATTGTTTTGAGACGTCCCCAAATGTAAAAATCAAGAGGATTAAGATTAGGCGAACGAGCTGGCCAGCGAACTGTGTCATTTTTACCGATCCATCTCTTGTGGTAATGTAAATCTAGCCACCTTTTGACGTCTTTGTGACAATGTACTGGAGCTCCATCGTGTTGGTACCACATGAAGCGTCTCGTTACCAATGGAATATCTTCCAATAATTCTGGTAACGAATGGTTTAGAAATTCCAAGTATTTTACTCCATTTAGAGAGTTATCAAAATAAAACGGTCCGAAAATTTTGTTACCTATAATACCCATCAATACATTGCATGAGGATTTCTTTCACACCATCGATGTTCGTTATGGTTATTAAATATACCGCTACGAGTAAATGTTGATACATCGGTCCATAAAATTCTTTCTAAAAAACCTGTTGCATCAAGATCTTTCTCTTGCAACCATCTGCAAAAATACAACCTATTCATGCGGTCTACTTGCAAAAGGTTGTAAATAATATAAATATAAATCATTAACTGAAATTATATCCCATACAGTGGACCGAGCTACATCAATAACGTTTGCGATTCTGCGAATGCTAATACTTGGGTCACGCTGAATTAAGGACAATATTGCCTCTTCCGTAGTATGTATTACTTGATTTACCCTGGTTATTTCACGTCTTTGGAATGTAACACTTCCGGTTTCATGCAATCTTCTAAAATTACGTGAAAAAGCTTGGATCTGGAACCATTCTTCGCGGGAAAGGTAATTTGTATAGCTCACAGGCTTGGTTTTGATTACCTTCGCATTGTCCATTTACATATATTATACAGCTAATTCACTATTGCTAAAATTTGACATTTTTTTATTTTAGTTTTTAAAAATTACTTTCGGTGTTTTCAATTACAAGAACTAAATCAAAGTAATTAGGTAAATTAATTAAAATCCTATTTATACAAAATAAATGATAGTCTTAATAATATTAAGCAAAAACAATATTTTGTAAATAATATCATAATAAAACGAGAAAAAATTGAGTTGACCTTGACAACTCTGTGATACGCGTACGAATTTGTTATCCTATGTGCGAATAAAGATGCCATAACTGACTATGGGACAGACTATGACTTTAAGTTGCCGTAGTACCATATTAATTTATGCAAAATTTCAGTACAGTGTTTTTCAAAATACTGTGTGCCAAACTACTATTGAATTTGTATGACATTGGCCCTACTAATATACTCACTTGTGTAAAATTTCAATACCATAGCTTTTATAGTTTCTGAGATATAGCCAACTAACTTTTGAAGTTGTATGGCAGGTACCAGAAGGAGCCAAGTAATTTCAACGACTTTTATGAGACACATTGGCCCTACTAATATGTTCGTTTGTATGAAATTTCAATACCACAGCTTTTACAGTTTCTCTGATATAGCCAAATAAATTTTGAAGTTGTATAGTAGCTACCCGAACCGCTACCCCGATCATGTCCAATTTAAATAGGGTTCTGGCACTTGGTACAAGAAATCATTTGTGAAAATTTGGTGAACTTAGCTCAATTAGTTTTTGAGTTATCACTGGGGCGGACGAACGGACAGACAAAGCTAAATCAACTCCGAATTTGACGCCGATCAAAAACATACACTTGAGTCTATATCTAAGAGCGTTATTTCTTAGTGTTACAAACGGTAAGGCAAATTTAATATACCCTTCGAATATACGTTCGTGCGGGTATAATAAATTTTTTCATATAAGGTACCTGATGGCCATTAATTGCGTTTTTGAAATAATAACATAACACTATAAGAAGGGTCAACATAACTTGGGTTTATAATCAATTTGTTGCAAACGAAGCTTATATTTGTTGTTTTTTTTCAAATTTAATGTTAAATTTCTCTCGTAGACACGATATTCCTGAAACTTTTGGACGTATTTTGTAGAGAAATAAAGGTAATGCAAATGTCTTTCATTTTGGAAAAGAAAAAGGACATGTTAATAATGCACAATACTGCGTAACAAAGACTAAAAAAAATAGTTTTTGTTTGAAAAATACTTTGATTTCGTTTATTTTCTAAGGTTTTGAGCTCAGTTTTCGCCTGATAGACATATTATTTCTACAGTTTTCACCACATTATGTTATATCAAAATGAAGGTCAGAATATAAGGCTCTTCTTCCTGTAAAAAAACAACAGGTTAATAACGTGAAATTACGGCTAAATGACGGTTAAACGAAAATTTATTAAAAAAATTTTTCCAAAATTCTGACTTTGTTCTTTAATATTTCTGAAACTAAAGACGTCTTTGGAACTATTGGCATACCGTTAGAAGGAGAATTTCTTAAGCTTTAAAAAGTTGGATTTATCTGTCACATTTCCCGAGTAATAAATAAAAATGTGAAAATCAGACGGTTTTTGCATGTTCCAACTTTGAGGCCCCATAACTCGAGAACAAGAGCCCAAAAAGAAAAAAGTGCTATAAAGTTTTCTCAGTTTATCGAGAGATTGCAAATATATTCTTTCTTATTTTGTAATGTTTTTATTTGAATGCCAACAAATTTGTATCCATCGAATGATCTTTTATTCAGCAACATCTTATTTTGAAAAACAAAAACGGACTATCACCGAAAGAGCTTTCCTTTTATGTGCGGTTTGCTATGTGAAGTATTGAAATATGATGTTTATATTATATAAAGATAAAAATTAGTTATCAAATGTTTTATTAACAAAGCAAAGATCGGATGGCACAAAATGAAACTCTGCTAAGAGCCAAATTCACTTTTTTCTATGTACATATGTTTAAATAAAAGCTTATTGAAATTTTAAAGAAGTGTTTAGAATGCATTTTTATAATCTTCTGGAATAGTTTTACTAATTTAAACAGTATATATTGCGGTTGGTTATGTGTTGACCATATCACATTTTTTTTATAAATTATTATTAATTCTTATAAGAATAACTAATGGAAATTAACTTATACAACTGCAGAACAGATGGATGGCGTAAGCAAAGGAACGAGTTTTAAATTAAAAAAATTTTTCTCCTCAAACTGGACTCGAACCAGTGATTCACCACTTTCTAGACGTACGCTCAACCAACTGAACTACAGAGGTATGAAGAAATTGTC